ACTGTGGCATTTTAGATTTTGTTTACCACATTTTGAACACCTGAAAATGATCTTTCTCTGCCCGTGTGCCCTTTTGAGATGGTCAATCAGCCTCAACATCCAAGTAAACCAGGTCTCACAACAAGGACAAGATGGTTGTTTGTCAGGCATGGACACGACAGGTGTTCTTGGCGTTATACCATCACCTTCAGACCCGTGAGGAGCCTCGGGTGTTTTGGGCTCTTTACTACCTCCCATCGTGCTCTCAGCCTCAGGTGTTTTGGGCTCTTCGGTACCTCCCACTGCACTTTCAGCCTCATCCTGGGCCATCCCCATAGGGGAGATCTCATAGGGCTCAGGGAGTTGCCCCAAACCCTACCAAACATCCACATGATGTACACCATCTTCTTTAACAATTTTGGAGTTAAAAAACTCCAAACTTGCAAGATCGAATCCCTCTTCCCTGGGCACAGAGGGCATAGATGGTAATTTGGCATCAATGACCCTTAGATCTAATGGGTCAGTCTGAATGGTAGTCGAGATATAACGCAAAGCCATTTTGTCAGTCCGGTAAGAAATAAAGTGACAAGTCCAAGTGAGGGTAGAAGCATATAGTAGCTGACCCTCTCTCAAACTACCAACTGTGTCAACAACAGCCCGTGGACAAGGCTCTGTGCAACAGCGAACTAACTGTGCCAACCTTTTTGTTTCAGCGATTCGTGAAACTATTGTTGGGTGGTGAGTCCAACAATAGGGAGGGCTGATATGCGCCCTCTCCCACACTGGGGCAGAAGTCGACTCAGTTACCACGAGGGTATCCGGCAGGACCACGAGGAGGTGCGACTTCCGCGGCTATGCCCAGTTAGTAAATATAGTTACTCCCGCCGTTTACCCGCCCTTCATTGAATTTCTTCACTTTGACATTCAGAGCACTGGGCAGAAATCACATTGCGTCAACACCCGCCTCGGGCCTTCACAATGCTTTGTTTTAATTAAGCAGTCGGATTCCCCTGGTCCGCACCACTTCAAAGCCGGCTGCTAGGCACCGACTGAGGCGGGGCACTGGCCCAGGGACCCTCCCCCGGGGACCCTCCCCCACACAAACTGCTCAGCCGACACCGGCTGCGCGCACACTGGCTGCACACCGCGGGAACCCCATTGGTGGGAACCGCTGGGGCGGTGGTGCGCAACGATGACGGCTGCCACTGGGGCACCGGCCGCGGCAAGGTGGAGGGCGGGCGGAGCGGGGGGTGGGCGGTGCCCGCCACAGCCGGGGCGATCCACAGGAAGGACCCGGTGTGTGTCCAGAGTCGTCACCGTGCGCGCGCATGCCCCAGCGCCCGGGCGGGCCACGCGGAGCGCACACACCCGCGCGTGGCACCTCGTCCAGCTGCGGCACGCACCCAGCCTGCTTCGCGCCCCAGTCCGACCAACCCAGCCCTTAGAGCCAATCCTTATCCCAAAGTTACGGATCCGGCTTGCCGACTTCCCTTACCTACATTGTTCCAACATGCCAGAGGCTGTTCACCTTGGAGACCTGCTGTGGATATGGGTACGACCCGGCACGAGACTTACACCCTCTCCCCTGGATTTTCACGGGCCAGCGAGAGCTCACCCGATGCCGCCGGAATCGCGACACTTTCCAAGGTGAGGGCCCCTCTCTCGGGACGAATCCATTCCAAGGCGCCCGGCCCTTCACAAAGGAAAGAGAACTCTCCCCGAGGCTCCCACCAGCTTCTCTGGGATCGGTTGCGTCACCGCACTGGGTGCCTCGTGGCGCCCATCTCCACCACTCGGAGGATTCGGGGATCTGAACCCGACTCCCTTTCGATCGGCTGAGGGCAACAAAGGCCATCGCCCGCCCTTTCGGAATGGCACTCACCTTATCGCTTAGGACCGACTGACCCATGTTCAACTGCTGTTCACATGGAACCCTGCTCCACTTCAGCCTTCAAAGCTCTCATTTGAATATTTGCTACTACCACTAAGATCTGCACCTGCAGCAGCTCCACCTGGGCCCACGCCCCAGGCTTCGAGGCGCACCGCAGCGGCCCTCCTACTCGTCACGGCCTAGCCCCCGCGGGCCTCGCACTGCCAGCGACGGCCGAGTATGGGCCCAATGCTCCAGCGCCATCCATTTTCAGGGCTAGTTGATTCAGCAGGTGAGTTGTTACACACTCCTTAGCGGATTCCGACTTCCATGGCCACCGTCCTGCTGTCTAGATCAACCAACACCTTTTCTGGGCTCTGATGAGCGTTGGCATCGGGCGTTCGATTCATCCCACAGCGCCAGTTCTGCTTACCAGAAGTGGCCCACTGAGCACTTGCATTCCACGGCGCGGCTCCACGCCAGCGAACTGGCTCCCTTACCCATTGAAGGTTTGAGAATAGGTTGAGATAGTTTCGGCCCCAAGACCTCTAATCATTCGCTTTACTGGGTAAAACTGCCCATTGCCGAGTGCCAGCTATCCTGAGGGAAACTTCGGAGGGAACCAGCTACTAGATGGCTTGATTAGTCTTTTGCCCCTAGACCCGGGTCGGACGACCGATTTGCATGTCAGGACTGCTACGGACCTCAACCAGAGTTTCCTCTGGCTTTGTCCTGCCCAGGCATAGTTCACCATCTTTCGGGTCCTAGCATGGACGCTCACGCTCCACCTCCCCAGCCCCGCGAGGGGGCGGCGGGCGAGACGGTCCAGTGGTGCGCCCGGGGCTGCCAGGCGCGACACGCGCCCCGGGATCCCACCTCAGCCAGCGCGGGCTGGCCCTCACCTTCATTGCGCCGCGGGCTTTTGACAATGGTCCCTGACTCGCGCACATGCTAGACTCCTTGGTCTGTGTTTCAAGATGGGTCAAGTGGGTAGCCAACATCGCTGCGGACCCCGGGTGCCCCAGCGCGGCCCGTGAGCCTGGCCCGGCAGCGCCGCGCGGTCAGGGTGCACTGAGGACAGTCCACCCCAGTTGACAGCAGCGCCGGAGACTGGCAGGCCCAGCCCCCACACACCTGCGCGAAACGCCGTGCTGCGAGGATGCCACTCCCCCCCCCCCCCCCCATGAGAGGCGGGGAAATGATGCCCCCCACCACGGCGCCACTGATGCGGGGGGAGGAGGGCACAGTGGCAGTCCTTTCCCTCAGCCCCGGGATTGGGCGAGACCTGCTGCCCGAGGGCTGTAATACCCGCTGCTGCTCGCGCAGCACTGGACCACCTGCCCGTCGGACCACCTGCCCACCGGAGGCCTTCCCAGTCAACCTGGAGCCGGTCATGGCGCACCGTTGCAGAGGAAATGTGCCCGGACAGCGCCAGCTGCCGGCTGGGCGGCAGTTCCCGGACCAGCCTGCACCCCCCAGCCTGCCTCCGCGGGCAGGGTTTGCCCAGGGGATGGAAGGGAGGCGGAGGCGAGGTTCCACTGAACCCGTGCCGACCACAACTCGCCGGGTTGAATCCTCCGGGCGGACCGTGCGGGCCCCACCCGTTTACCTCTTAACGGTTTCACGCCCTGTTGAACTCTCTCTTCAAAGTTCTTTTCAACTTTCCCTTACGGTACTTGTTGGCTATTGGTCTTCTGCCAGTATTTAGCCTTAGATGGAGTTTACCACCCGCTTTGGGCTGCACTCCAAAGCAACCCGACTCCGAGAAGTCCCGGGCCCAGCATGCCGGGGGCCACTACCGGCCTCACACCGTCCACGGACTGCAGCCTCAATCACAAGGACTTGGGTCCCCTGAGAGCGCCGCCAGGGATTGGGACTTCTGTACGCCACATGTCCCACACCCCACTGCGGGGCAGGGATTCGGCGCTGGGCTTTTCCTGCTTCGCTCGCCATTACTGAGAGAATCCTGGTTAGTTTCTTTTCCTTGGCTGACTTATATGCTAAATTCAGCGGCTTGCCACGTCTGATCTGAGGTCGCAAGGCCAAAGCTTGGCCGCACCTCCTGGCCCATGCAGCTCCTAAAGAAGCAGCATGCCAACAGGCCAACAGCCAGCCAGCTTCTCCCACCTACCAGCCTCACCTTCCTCCCCACTGGCGCCCTCGCACCAGGGGAAAACAAAGCCAGAGGGAGAGAAGCGGAGACAGAGTGCCCCATCCCGGAGATGAGAACCGAAAAGGGAGTGTGGCAGAGACAGCCCTGATGGGGGACCAGGCGGCACGTGATGGCCTTGGTGGAGAGAGAGAGAAAAGCCATGGTGCTATTTGCGCCCCGAGACCACGACAGAAGATGAGGAGGGCAGGCGAAGGGAGGAGGGGGTTGGAACATCTGTCCCCAGCGCTCTTGCCTCACGCGCACGCGCAGTGGCACAGTACCCCTGCAGTACCCACCTGCAGACAGCCGTCCACGTGGGGGGGAGGCTGGGGGTGAGGCCTGCGCCTTATCTCCCTCTTGCCCTCTCCCTTCTCTCGGCCCACGGCGGTGCTTTCAACGCTGTCTCTTACTCTCCTCAGCTGCCACCACCACCGTACCGCGGTACGGGCCCTGAAAGGACAAACTCTGCCCCAGTGGCTCACTCTGGGAGTGGGGAACTATGGAGCAGTCCTTGAGTCTGCATATAGGGGGATGAAAGCCCTGCGTGGCAACAATGACAATGACAGCCATGACGATGATGATGCCTGCTGGGTCACAGGGAAAAAATTGAGGCCGCCGAGGGAAACGCATCCCTTGCCAAACCCCTGACCGCCTTCCCTCTGGGCACCGGTGAGCCACCATCACCACCGCCGCTGACCACAGTCAACTGGCCTGTGAGGCAACCCCAGCTGAACCACCTTGGTGGCCGCTGGACGGCGACTGATCGTCAAGCAACACTCAGATGGGCGTAGCCCTGGGAGGAACATGGGGCCGCAAGTGTGTTTAAAGTGTGGATGACCAATGTGTCCTGCAATTCACATTAATTCTTGCAGCTAGCTGCATTCTTCATTAATGCACGAGCCCAGTGATCCACCACTGAGAGTTGTCTGGCTTTCAGCACCGATCCCGCACCCGTGGAGGGGCTGGGACCGCTCACATGGGGCACCCCTTTCTCTTGTGCTGAGGACGTGCGGGCGCGTGCCTGGCTTTGACCGTCCGTACTTGATAGTCAGGAGTGCAGACATAGGAGATCCAGCCACACTGAACTGGAATTCTTCCTCAAACCTCCACACTATGGTGGCACTGAAGGAGATCTGAGCAGTCTGGGTCCCGCCTGGTGCAATGATGCCCTCCTCAGGCGCAAACTTGAAGCAGAAGCCCACGTTTGCAGTTGAAGGGCTATAGGTGAAGGGAGCATCAATAGCTCCTAGGTTTATCAGTTCCACCTGCAGCAGCAAGAAAGCAAAACGGAAATACATGTGGAATCTTCCCTTCTTGTGAGTTACTGTCTAATGATGCAATTAATACCCAGAAATAGCAGACGATGCTATGAATGGCAAAAAAATACAACAGGACAAGTTCTGCCCTTTTTCATGCAAAGCAGTGGCAACTCCACAGAACTGGAGTCCACAACCCTGGGGTTATCCCATGGACACAGAGCAGTGCACCTCTGATCAGCACCACCAAGTTCATTCAGACCTGGCCCTGAGAGCAACATGGGCTGATTGCAGCTCTGTGTAGTCAATCACCCCAGAGCTGCTGCTGCCCCACTGAGCACAGCTCCAACACCACCATCTACTCATTCACCTTTTCCCATGTCATGAAAACAATACATTGATTATGAGGCATCAGCATCAAAATGTATAGACAGCATCATCTTTTGGTAAGAAAACTCAGCATGTCTTTGCCTCCCACAGCCAAGCTTTTGGAAGTGTCTGGCATGATGTAGTGCCTCATTTTCTACCTCTTTCAGCTGCTCTCTCTTTGGTTTTTTTTGCAAACTTGACACTATTGGGGAGGAGGCAAATAGGTAGAAAAATGCTTTGCTTTATTCCCAGGAACACTTTTCTCTTTCTAGAGCCAGAGATGCACCAAGGCTGAAGTGTGGTGAGGGACTGGTCAGCAAGGGAAAGAACTCCCAAGTCCTTTCAAAGGGCCAGCACTGAGCCAGGAGGCTGGATGGCTTTCCTGTGACTTGCAGCAATAAGCAGGAGACACTTGACTGGAAGCTGTCTGCAGTGGACTGAAGCTCAAAGGCAGCCAGTTTCTTCCAGCTGCTTCTGAACAGCCCAGTCCAAAGGTGCCTTGTGTCTGGCACGGCCACAAAAGCCTCTGAACATCCCTTTTTGACCCAGGCTTCGTTTCATGTGCCAAGGGGTTGTTTTGCAGCAAGCCTCCCAGCTGATTCCCAAGGAAGGAACTGGGCCTTCATGAACAACAGACACACCTTTCAGACCCTCCCAGATTTCACCAGTAGATCAAATATTCCCTGCTCACAAATGCCCAGGTTGGCAGCAATTCCACACTTCCACCAGGCTTGCTCCTGCCTCAGGAGCCATCAGGATCCACCCCAAGCCCTGCTGCTCACCTCATAGACGTGGGGGGTTTCAATAGAAATGTTCCCAAGGTTCAGAGTAGGAGAGCTGAATTCTTCCAAGGGTCCTTGGCCTTCCCCTGAGAGGTGCAGGAGCAGCCTGCTCTCACAGCCTGGGGAGAGATGTCCATTGCACTACAATCATTCCCTCTGTTATACTCTATTTTCCAGGCTGCCTCAGTGCTAGTCCCTGACTCTGAGCTGGATGCAACCAGCTCCTGATGCTGCAGGAGAGGATATGGACCCTCCTCTTCCCTCAGCCTTGGGGCTGACTTCTAATTTCTAACCCATTCCTTGGGCTGCTTTCCAATTTCAGCCACCAGTCTGCTGAGTTTAAAACATCTCTGCTGCCTTGTAGTGACAGGCCAAGGAGTTACAGGTATAAATTGAAAGAAAGGAAATTTAGGTTAGATATTAGGAAATTTTTTACTCTGAGGGTGGTGAGACACTGGAGCAGGTTCCCCAGGGCTGTTGTGGAGGTTCCAGCCCTGAAAGTGTTCCAAGCCAGGCTGGATGGGGCTTGGAGCTACCTGCTCTAGGGGGAGGTGTTCCTGCCCAGAGGCTTTAAAGGTCCATTCTATCCTTAACATACTCTGGTTCTATGCTGTCCTTCCCATGCACTTAGAGGAGCTTTGAAATCATTCAGTGAAGGCACAAAGCTCCTACAGAGTTTGGCAATTCCCAAACTACCTGGCCCAGGAGCACAGGACATTTTTGCCAAAGTCCCCAACTCCTGACACTCAGCACTGCGTTCTGTTTCCACAGACAGAGCTGCAAGGGCTCAAATTCCACAAAGGGAGAGAGGCAGGTGCTGGCCAAGGCTGCTCCTTCTACCAACAGCCTGGGCTCAGGGGGGCTCAGTCACCTCTGCTCTGCTGCTGTCTGGGCACTGGGAGGTGATCCAGGCTCAGGGAACACATTTCTAACTCAGCGCCTGCTGCCTGATGATGGATCCATGTCAAATGGACCCATCATCCTGGAGGCCAGGGGCCTGCAGGGGCTGAGTGCTTGTTCACTAAAGCTGTTCTGCTCTGCAGCTCTCTGGCCTTTGAAGGAATGCTGGCAAAGCCATGGCATGAAAACCTCTCCCTGCACTGCCTGGGCTGTTCTGGGATCAGTCAGGCACACACAGCATTCTGAGCCCTGGCCTGGCACAGGAGACTCCCTGGAGGCTGCAGGGCCAGGGGGGATGTGCCAGCACTGCCCTGCTGACCAGGGACTCTTCCCAGCACTTCCATGGGAGCCCAGTGGGCTCAGGCTTGCACCATGGCTTCACTGAGGGGGAGAGAAGCAGGGCAAAGGAGCTGTACCTGAGATGCTGCAGTAAGCCACACTTCCATACTCCAGTGCTTCCAGGGGTTTGAAGGTCACCTTGATTTTGGCCAAACAATTCGGCCCAATTTCTCCCTCCTACAGCAGAAAGAGACAGCAAAACATTGCTCTGCAAACTTCACATTTCTTGTTTTCAACCACACTTCTGTAAGCCTCTGTTTAGAGCATTAGTAATGAGTGAACAACACAAGGAGCCCAAGGAAACACTCCAAACCCAGCTCAACACAGCGCTGGAAGCTCTCAATGCTCAGCTGTTCAGCTCCCACTCTCCACAATACTCCTGCTGCTCTGACAAAGGCTCTTGGTCACATCATGCTGCTGTCAGCTACAGTGGGATGCGACTGCCACTGTGCACTGGTGGCTCTTCACAAGAAGAGAACACGATCCCTGTCCTGGGTTGACTATATGATACTTTTATCCCAAATCGTCTTGTTCTGTTTATGCTGAATAATAAGTGTTGCACCTTTAAGACTTGTTGCAGAGAGTGAAGGGGGGAGAGAAGAAGCAGCAGTTTGTTTTCAGACACTGCACTCACTCCTCCACACTCCTGCTTCTGGACTGCATTGTCTGCAGATGGACAGACAGCGGTTCAGAGCTCTCCTTTGCTTTTAGTTAATTTAGCTTGCTGAGGCAAAGAAGTTCCCTGGACTGTGGGGTTTTTTTCCTTTCTTTGGACCTGTTCAAACCTGCTCTGGACTGAACACCAGCAGAGCACCAACAGCTCAACCTGTGGCCACCGGGCTGGGCCTGGCCTGTGACATTTCCAGGACCAGAGGGACTGATCAGAGACTGAGTGAGCTGAGTTGCAACCTGGGGAGGGACTTTCTCAGTTTGTCATCTCTTTTGGAGCAGCAAGGAGTTTTATTGATTAATACTGTTTAGGGTTTATTGGTTAATAAACCGGTTTTTTCCACTTCAAGGAGGTCTTTTCTCCAGGACAGGTTGGGGGTAGGGGCCAATTGAATCTGCTTTCCTAGAGGAGCCCCTTTGGGGGTTCTCCCCCAAATTTGCCCGGAACCAGAACCTTGGAAATAAAAATATTAGTTTAACGTGTATTGAAAGAAAGCAGAGGCTGGCATTATTCTAGCGTTTACTCCAAGATGAGAAGGGATGTTGCACTGTGCAGACACCAGGCATTCATTGTCTCTCACAATGCCAGTACTCAGAATCAGGGCTCTGTTTGATACGAGGACGTGGTGGTTTGCTTGCAGAAACAGAAAAGGAAAAGGTTTTCTGTCCCTGTGTGCAGGACAACTCCAAAGGCCCATTTCAACCTTCCACCCTTGTGTCCAGGCTCACAGAGGACACTGGAAGGGACACTCAGAAATAGTGCAAGGCGTGGTTACAGGAGGGGATTGGCATTTCTATGATTAGCCTTAGGCTGAATTTGGCCTCACTTTCCCAGCAAACCATTGCAAGCTTCAGGTCAGTGTGTGAGCTGGCAGTGGTCCAACAGCCTCTGCTGAACCTCACGTGTGGGGGGAGCCCCTACCTACAAGAACTGCTCCCTGTGGACACTGCAAGGACACGCACAGAGTGCCCTTGAGCTCAGGCCCTGGCAGCACAGCTTGGCCTTATCAGGCTCCCAACCCTGCCTTGAGCTTCCAGGGCAGAAATGCTTTTAGCATTTGGCATTTTTAGGCGAGCTCTGCAGGTGCACCAGAAACTCAATGTCTTCCCTCCCAGCACATCGAGCCAGCTGAGGATCTGCCCAGTGACCGCAGCCGGGGGTAGAGTGGGTGGGAGGAGGAAGAGGGGGAGGAGGATGAGGAGGAAGAAGAGGAGGAAAATGAGGTTTTCACCTATCACTTACCATTGGCTCAATGAAAAAAATGTCATCAGAGAACAGCATGGGGTCTTGGTGCAACTTTGCCTTCTCCCCCAGGAGCCTCAGGAGGGCAGTGTGATCTTCACCAGAGCCCTTCTCCTTCCCTGTTTCTTTCCCCTCCATTGATTTTTCCAGCCACAGCTCTCTCCATGTCCACAGGAATCGATGCTGCCTGCAGCCACAGGAGAGACAAAGCCAGCAGACTGTTTAATAAGCCACAGATTGGCAGAGAGAAGTGTGAGTGCAGGAGAGCAAAGCACCTGGGGAGGAGCAGCAGTGTGAGAGATGAGTAATGTGATGATTTATCAAAAAGCAGGATGCCCCAACACAGGGAACGACTGGCAGCTGACTCCATTGATTCACAAGGCTGAACAGTTGCTTTATTAAACTATATTATATTACATTGTACTACACTATATTAAAGAAGCATACTATACTACAAAGAATACTAAAAAATACTAAAGAAAACTTGTGACTGTCTCCAGACAGCCAGGACAAAGCTTTTTCCAATTGGCCAAGGAAACAAAACAGTCCTCAGCAGAATCCAACTGACAAATCATTTCAGGTAAAGAATCTTCCTAACACATTCCACATGATAGAGATAAGAATTGTTTTCTTTCTTTTCTCTGTGATTCTCCAGGAAAAAAAAACCTTGGGAGAGAGAATTATGTGTTTCTGTTCAGAGAATGTGAATACCACAATGATTGACTCTCACAATTAACAGACAAATACCATGTATAGAAGTTAAGAAAAATTTCTTTTACCCCTCAGTTGTTATCAAGGGACAGCTGGGGTTGGGATATGTGGGAGGGTCGCCTTGTCACTACAGCGACATCTGACCTCTAATCAAGATTTGAGGAAGTAAACTCTACCACTGGACACTGAAGATGGAGTCAATGGACAGAATTTTGGGAGGGGCTAAAGGGTTAAAAGGCAAAACCTCCATTGTGTGGGAGAGCACATGGTGCGGAAAATCCTTTGCTCCTGGCGCCATAACATTTTCTCTATTCAGTCTTCTGTTGCATCTTTGATAAGGCTTAATAAACCTCTCTCAACTTATGAAAAGGGAGTGGCTATTTCTCCCAAGCAGCAGCTCCCCAGTAAGGGCTGACCCCAAGCCATGGGGGTCCCAGATGGATCAGAGGATAACTTGTTGTTCACTGGCCCAGCAGGGAGTTTTACTCCACACCTGCAAGCTCAGGACAGGAGAGGTTTCCAGAGCCAGCATCCCTCCAGAGAACCTCCTGGCTCAAAGCCTCTGCCCAAAAAACTGAGGGAGAATCCACCAGCCACTTCAAGTGGTTTTTCCTACCACTGAGCTGCTGGGGAGGCAGATAAAGGTCATGGAGTAGGACTTCCCTGGGAAGGGGAGACAAAGCTGGGTCGCAGCTACGTGCTACCAGCACTGTAAAAAAGTCACATTATATGATTGGCTTTTCGCATATATGAAAATAAAACATTGGTCTGTTCTGTTTCAGTCTCTATGCAATATTGCATAGGGAAATGTAAGATAACAACAATTAGAAATCAATCAGATAATGCACATGACCAATGACACATCTGCAATCACACCATTATCAGTCACTACAACACTGAACTGTCATCCCAGAGTCTGCGACAGCTGATGAACTTTAAAACAACAGAGAGCTGGAGAACTCGTGTCAAGATTCATGTTTCTCCAAACTCCCTTTGAAATCAGGCTCAGCTATCATACATGGTCAAATTGCCAAGCCAAAAGAACTTGAATACTTTTTGATGCAGAAAACATCTGAGCTGATTCTCAATCATTCCATTCAAGTAGAGCTAGAACTTGGCCAGAGTTCAATCTCTAATTGATGGACACCACTTAACACATTTTAAAACAAGACTCTTAAAAACAGAAATTATGAATAGGAAACCTGAGGATTAAAGATCAATCAAACCATTAAATAATTGAATCCCTCCAAAACTTCTGTCAGGACAGAAATTCTTCAAACATAGCAAACCTCTTGAATTCTCGGCTGAAGTACTCTATAATAACTGAATAAAACCACAAAACTGGCAACCTGGATTTAAAGGAAACCTAAAAAACATGAGTAGTTAAAAAACAAAAAGACAAGACTCTGAAGAGACACGTGTCTTGTAGATGATCACACAAAGAGACAGTGAAACACATGAAAGCTGGCTGTAAATATTACAACAAGACCTTGATAATAATTCTTATAATAAATTCTGAGAATTCTCACGATATAATCAACTTATCAACAGGAAGTGTTTGAAGGGGTTATGACAACTTTTTTAAAGTATTCATATAGCATTAATAACAATCCTTATTTATCAGTATCACCTATAAAATCTAAAAATAACAAAGATTACAAACTCAATACAAACAAAATTCTGAATCATTGGAGAATCAGCTGGTGACCCCACAGATAGGATCTGATTGATATTTCTCAAATGCTCTGTCTTCAGAGACATTTCAGGTAATTGAATCATTACTAATACTTCTATCTTTCTACGGTGGTTTGCCTCCCTGAGAGGCATTTTGCACAACAGAAGATTTCCATTTATATCATATTTGGAATACCACTGATTTGCACTGGTTTCCCCTTTTTTCTGTATCTTGGGCAAAAACCTGGCTGCTTTCTCACTTTACTCTGATTTTGGACAGCTTTTTCACGTGTCCATCTTTTGCATCTGAAGCCTGATCATCTGGTAAATGCTGTTTCCGTCACTTCTGTGGGACCGGGCTGCTGCGGAGTTCGGTGCGCCTCACACAACATGCGCTGCACCCGCGAAAAATCTCCCTCTTGAGATTCTGATGGAGGCTGAAACTGTGTGCTGGCTGCCGGGACTGGCTGCGTGCCCGCTGCCGTGGGACCGGAGCAGGGCCGGTCCCTCGGGCACCCCCTGCACCCAGACCGCGCCCAGTCTCTGCTGGAGCTCTCACGGGAGTGCGGATGCCCCCGCCCCGACCGCGCCTGCCCTGCGCTTCTCTCGGCGCAGGCGCGGTCTGGGGAACGCCCCCTGTGCCCGTGACCGACACCGGCGCTGCCCCGGTCCCCGCTCGGCCGCGTCCGTGCCGCGTCTGCGCACTGGGAAAAACCCGCCCCGCTCCGGCTGCCGGGTTTGTGCGTCATCACCGGGCGCCTGCCGCGCTCCGTGGCGGTCGCAGGGACGCTGCAGCCGTCCCGTCCCGTCCGCCTCAGTCCCGCCCGGCGCGGCTGCCGCGGCCCGTGCGCGTTCCCCGGGTGCCGCTGCCCGCCGCCATCGCAGTCGCGCGGGTTCTGCCCTTCGCGCGCGGCTTTGGCACCCCCTGCGTGAAACCGCCGCCATCGCGCATGCGCCCGCCGCTGCCGCCAGCCCCGCGCCTCCCGCTCCCGCGCTCCGCCCGGCCCGGCCCCGCTCGGCGCTGTCCCCGCAGCCGCCGGCCGTGCCCTGCACGCTGCCGACCGCCCGCTGCTGCGATCGCGGGCACCGCCGTGCGCGCTATCGCCTCCGCCGCTGCTGTGCCTGCGACTGCCCCGCTGCCCCCGTGGGCCCCCGCCGGCCTCCGCAGCCCCCACGGCCGCCTCTGCGGCCCCCCCGGGCTGCTCCCGGCCGGCGCTGCCGTGGCACGGGTTCGCCAGTCGCCGAGAAGCGGCTCTGCCCCGGGTTCCCCGACCCCCTCCGCCCTCCTCTCCCTGAGAGTTCTGGGCGTTCTGGGGACCCATGGGACCCTGGGCACTCTGGAGATGATGCCAATTCCTCCCACACCTGTTTGCTAGGGATTACCTTTGCCCCTCCCTCGTCAGTAAGGGCAACTGCCGCCTGCTGATGGCAGGATGACTTCCCCCATCCTCGAGAGAATACTGCTGCCTGCTGATAGCTGACAGCCCCCGCGGAATTCCACGAAATTGCCTCTAACATTACCCTTGCTGGGGATAAAGGCTTCAAGGCCGTTTTATCTTTTTTCAGAGATTTTCACAGGGTGTGTGGCTGCCATGCCCTGTAGGGCTGACAAGATGCTGGGTTGTTCCTGGGAGCATGTCCCCCCCCCCATATTCTCAGTTTTGACTTTTCTTACCAAAGGCTGAATCATCTGCAAGGTCAGTCCGGAGTTTGCCCTGGTCACCATCCAGCAGCTCGCAGGTGAGGGTTTCCAGGCATGCTTCTGGTCCTCCTCTTTCCGGGTGGAGCTTGAAATGAATCTTCTCAGCAGAGGTCGAGATGTTCTTTCTGGATTTTTCCCTTGAGAGTGCCTGTTTCCTTTCCTTCTCGGGCTGGGTTTCAGCGGCTGATGGCTGTGGCGTGGCTGCTTGCCAAGAGCCCACCTGGGTGCCCTCTTGGAGCCCACCAGGGACGCCAATGTCTCAGGGTCTCTTGCTGCTCAGAGTGACCCCAAGAAAAGTTCAAAGTCTCTTTTCCCAGCCCGGCGCTTGAAGAAGGAGTCAGGGCTCTTAATTTCTCAGTCTCAAGGTTGTTTATTTTATCTTATCTATAAAAAATTTTCTCCTGCCCTGCCGAGGTCAGCTCAGCAGGACAGTCTGAGGCACTCTGCCTGCCCCCGGGGCGGTGTTATGTCTTTATACTAAAAACTACGTGTACAATGTTTACAATTACTTTCCAATACCTATCACCTATGTTAGACAGTGAGCTTCTACTCTAAACCAATCAGTAAGTGCCAACATCACAGCAGAAGATGGAGGCCAAGAAGAAGGAGAAAGACTGGACACACCCAGTTCCCTCCATCTTGCCTCCTGAACCCCATACCAAAAACCCCAAAATCTACTTTTCCACCCCTTCACTAATATTCTACCTAAACTTGTGGCCTGCTGATCTTCATATAAGGTTTGTAATTTGCTCTACGGGTCATAATCAAATCCACTGGTGTTTTGGGCTCTGTGCCAGGGCTTCTGAGCCCCCTGGCAGGGGTCCTGGCCATCCTGGACTGCCAGAGGGATGTTCTGGGTTCCCACAGGTCTCTTCTTAGGTCTTCTACAGGTTGGTTTTTTGTTTCCTCTCCTTCTGCTTGTGCTGGGAAAAAGCCCCTGCTGGGACATCTCTGCACCCTGGCATCCTGGGCATCTGCATAGGGATGGGCAATATAACAAAGGACTAGCTGGAGGCCTTTGGAAATGGGAATTTATGGACAGGTGG